TTCGACAGAAATACCTGATCATATGGACTGGGACCAGTGTTATCATATGGCAATTGATTTAATTCATGTTTCGAACTAAATTCACTCTTTTGCAATTTTTGAAACAACGGTCCATGATATTCCGGTCGTGATCGTAATATGTCGTCCGATGTTTGACGAAAACGTTCGCTCACTGCATCTGAGAACATAATTTGCATTTAATTGGTTATTTGCTTATTCGCACTTCAGATCCATATTATCAGAAATCTTAACTTAAATGTATGCTACCTCCATATGTGTTCTCGACATACCGTCAAAAATAAATTTTGAAGGAGCAATACTGCTATCTCCTAAAAAATAAAAAATACTTAAGAAGCAGGAATATTTACAGTATTAAGGACTCTCGAACTTTGGAAGATAAGAGTACTCACCAGGTGCACTGCTAGCATCACTTGAAAGAAATTCTTTCCTCGCCTTCTCAAGTTTTGATCGATATCGACTTGTACGACGACTTGATGATCGACTGAAATCATCATCATCGGCGGGGCGTCGATTATACAAACGTTCACGTGCTAGCATACTTGAATCGGAACCATTTGACATACTAATTTGCATACACCTAAAAATCTCATGAAATTTTTGAGTAAAAACGAATGAGCCAACGTCAGAGAGTTAGAAAATTTAAATACAACAAACAACTTTACGACCTATTCGTGAATTGAAGATGTCAAAGTATTCCAAAACATTTTAATGACTCGAGTTGCAGATATTGAATAGATTTTGGATATTTTTTTCAACAATGAATTCACACATCATTCTTATGTGGGAAACTTCCTGTCACATTATTCAGTTATTCTTGTCCATCTTTCCTCTCTATTTATTTCATTATTTTCATTTGTACTACTACTCTTATCTACACTGCATTACCATTAATTGGAATATGTGTGTATCTATACAAATATAAGAATTTCATAAAAAGTTTCCCGATATGAATACTGTCAAACAAGCATTGCCCTCCCCTACCTCCTCCCTCCCCCCCGTCCGCCCAATTCTTTATTCTTTCCAAATGACAACCGGATATATCATCTTTCACTGTCGATCCAATAGGAATATCGGAAATCTCAAATTAGGTGTCTGTCATGGATCATGGTCATGGATGTCATCATCTATTGACCTCAAACAATATCATCAATTCTTGCAATCTTAGCTACATCAACAACCCATCATTTTTTCAACGTCATAATTACATTTTATCACTGATGCATTGTTTCGAGTAAATTTGTTGCATGCTTTTCCAGGTCTTCAAAAATTGATATCGTGATGGTATTTTCACTACTGCGTAGCAACTGTTGCAAGAGAACAAAGATTTTATTCCATAATTTGAAATTTTGAAATCAAAAAAATGCAAAGTTACAGAAGCAAAATGAGATATAAATTTTTTCGTTAGTAAGTGAAATCAAATATTACTCTTAAAAATTTGGCTGATTCATGCAGGCAGCAATACCATCACGGTGTCAGTTATCTATTAAAAATACTAGAAAAGCATACAATACAGCATAACGATTCTTTTTTCTGCAAAATATAACGATCGTGTTAATGTGAATAGACTTTTATATTTAGAAGATAATTATAATCCAAATTTTAGCGCAAAATTTCGGGATTTTTTTCATCTATGAAGTGCTACCCTTTAGTAGTAATTAAAGAAAAAGAAAGAAAAAAACACAACAACCTCACAACCCTAAAGGTTATTGATCAATTTAAACCACATTTAAAAAGTATTAAGGACTCGAAAAGAGTTCAGATATCAGTCTTGAAAAGTGTGAAAACTTGCAAAAAATATGTTGACTGTAATGAAAAAGCAAAAAAAGAAAGTAATAACTGAGTATATGGTGACCCAAATATGTAATTGTGTAGTAAACAAAGCATTAATTGAACAAAAAGCTGGAAGTATCAGAAAACTGAAATGCTAAAAGTTAGACACAAAATCGGAAAAAATTTCCTTAAGCAAAATGCATCCTTGCTAAACTCCAATCTGATTAGATCAAATATAACTTTATTCATTTTGACCCAACTGGGTATTTCAGGTTCCAGGTTAATCTCAGACTAATTTTCCTTCCTTCCTCATTCTCACCCCATCATAGATTTACAAAATTGAAAATCTGATCCAATCAGCTAAGAATTTTTTCTTTTACATGGAATAAACACCTGATCAGTCAAAACGAAATGAGCAATAAAATAGTTCAAACAACATGTAACTGTTCCAACCCATATATTCTAGGAATAAACAACTAAAATAGAAATTGAAAAAATAATGCAACAAAATCGTAAATAGTTCAACATATCTGCTGTTCTACTAAGTAATGTCATATAACCTTAAGGTTGCATTATTCCCACAAAATTAGGCCAATTTTCTATTCTTAGGAAGGCAATAAGGAAGTCCATACAACAGTTTGTTTACAAAATATACCTAGGATCGTCGGACCAGACGGTACGATCAATACGTTCGATCACTTGTCGCTCCACTTTCGTCGTTACTTCACTTCCGCCGGTACTTAAGTTCTCCCGAGAACCATATGGAATCGCTGCCAAATTTTCTCGTGAATAATAAGGTGGTTTTGTCAATTTTTCTAAAGTTTCCCGAGATGTTAATATGTCTTTGCGGCGGTCACGACTGGTTATCTGCGCTAATAACTGTCGTTTTTCTATTTCCATTTTTTCTTTTTCTTCTATTTCACGCGCTATTTGATCCAGTTTATCACGACTTCGACGATCTTCAAGACGACGTTGAGCCTCACGTTCCAGTGCTTCCTGACGTTCTTGTTCACGCAATTCTGAATTACGTTTTTCCTGTTCAAGCAACTCTTTCAAGCGGCGACCCTCTTCTAATCTAAAGTTTAACATAAATAAAGAGAATCATATCAAGTAAGTTCTTTCAGAAACTTAAATTCGACGAACTACTTCTCACTTACCATTCCTTTTCCTCCATGAATGAAAGCACACAAAATTAGAGCTGAAATATTTAAGCACTTCAACTATCCTCCGCTAATTAGTTTCTTGCTTCTTTACAATGTCGCATTCAATTTCATGGATTCATACGCAGAAACTAACCGTTCACGCTCCCTTCTCTCGGCTTCCTGACGTTCACGTTCCCGTAATTCATTAGCCTCACGTTCCAATGCCTGTCTTTGTTCATCTCGTTGTATTTCAGCTAATCGCGCTGCCCGCCTGCAGAAAAAGAACTCCGTTAATAGCGAGAACAACGCAGTACAGTTGTTCACGGAACATTTGCGCTTTCCTGCTAAATTAATAGATAGACACGAAATGATGATGATGACTCATCCCTAAATTTACTATTAAATTTTTCTCGAACTCAAAAACTCAGCAGGTTATTTGCTGTGAGGAGAAACACTCATTCTTTTATTAAGTGGATATGTAAAGGATTAACTGATACCTTTCCTGGGCAGCATTTCTGATAGCCGCTAATTTCTCTCGTTCCATTTTTTCTTCTAATTGACGTTCATGTTCCCGATGCATCGCTTCACGTCTTTCACGTTCACGTTTCTCTGCTTCAATTCGTTCCTCGTCTTGTCTTTGACGCTCTCGTTCCTCATCCTCCCGTCTCTCTTGCTCACGTTTTTCTGCTGCACGTTTTTGTGCCTCAAAAAGTTCCTTCTCACGTCGTTCCTCTTCCTAAAATAATATATTTTCAAGATTTAAATTGAAGAATTAGAACCGCACTTCTGTTTTCATCATCCCTTTGAAGCTCATACTTGGCTTTTTTTGAAATTGCAGAGTATTTATGGCTTGACCAATAATTTATCACCTATTTTAATGATGCATTAAGAACCTATATCCCTTCTTGAAATAAAACTTCATGCATATTCCATAAGAACAACATATCAATACCGTCAACTTCTAGATTCTAATTTTCAACTTTTTTAGATTTGAATTTCAATCTCGGATAAATCTGAAAAGTTTCATTTACCTGACGCTGAAGTTCCTTTATTTCCGCTTCTTGCTTCTCTCTAGCTAATCGCTCCTGCTCACGATGTAAATTCTCCAAACGTTCTTTTTCTAAACGTTCACTAAGTCGTCGTTGCATTTCTCGTTCTTCTGCTTTCCGCTGCACTTCAGCTATGATTTCAGCTGCTCTGCAAAATTTGATTAAACTTTTGAAAAACAAATGAAAATTTGAACTGAAAGGAATCCGATTTCTTGAAAAATATAAATGAGTCTGAATTCGATCTTTTAAAAAAGAAATTACAGAAGTTATAAAGATGATTCAACATGAGAGAAGCAATAGAATTAAATGAGGAAGGTTGAAAATTAAGTTACAACCTTCTTTCTTCTTCTCTCCGACGAGCCTCCCGATTTTCTTCTTTAATTCGTTCTGCTTCGCGCATTTGCGCTTCTCGCCTTTGCATCTCCAGTAGTTCTTCTTCCACTCTGAAAGGCCAAATGAACATAAATTACAGATTAGCAATCAAACACAAAATTATTTTAAAGTCTGAATTTTCAAATTCTTAAAAAAGATTTCAAAAGCAAAGGTTGCGTAGTATTTTAATTAGCTTGAACAATCAGCACCTCAGGAGCTCCTGTTTTTCACGAGTAATACGTTCCTGCTCCTGGCGTTCTCTCTCAAGCCGTTCTTGTTCTTCTTTTTCCTTTTCTCGTTCTTGCCGTTCCCGTTCCTGACGCTCACGTTTGATTCGTTCGATTCGTTCAATTTCTAGCCGCTCAGTTTCTATTCTTTCACGTTCCAAACGTTCACGTTCTAGGCGTTCTTTCTCAGCTTGCTCACGTGCTAATCGCTCACGTTCACGCTCTGCACGCTCACGATCCAAACGTTCCCTTTCACGTCGCTCCTCCTCGAGCCTAAAGCTTAGTTTATCCTAAGAACTTTCAATATATCTCTTCAAAAGCATGCTTGTAATTACCTCCCCCAAACAACAGATTTCATGAATGTTTAGAGAAAGTGCCTACCTTTCCTGTTCCAGTCGACTTTTTTCTAGCTCTCGCCACCTCTGCAATTCATGCTCTTCATGCTCCCGTCGTGCTCTTTCAATTCGTTCCCATTCCGCTCTCCGCTCTAATTCAACATTTTCACGTGCTGCTCGCTCTTTATCCAGTCTTTGCTTTTCCATTCGTTCACGTTCCAAGCGTTCACTTTCCAATTCTCGATGCTTTAAGAAATACTTTATTTGAGGGTCGGATCAAAAAACCCAAGTATTCCACGTTTGCATAATGATATCCAAATGAGTGAAAATTTAAGTTAAATAATAGCTTCGTTATTTTAAAATCATTTTTAAACAATTGGATTAAGATAATTCAGTTGTGCGAAACATATGTACTTGTTCCAATGAATGGTCAAATGTTTATTTAACGAATCCTTCTCTATGCTGTCCTTTAAGGATTGCGTGATGAAAAACTGCATGACAGCGAAAGAGTGAAAATTGGAAGACAATGATATTACAAATCCCGACGGTTTAATAGTAGTACTGGAAATGGGTAAAGATGAAAAAGAAGTTTCATTTGTGTTCTGTAGCATTCCATTTGATTTATTTTAAAAGGAAAATATGTTGAATAATTTGACTATGAAGTACTGGGATATTGATTTCTGCATTCTCGTAAAATATGATCCAAAATGGAACGTGACAGTTCCACATTTTGATTTTTTCATGCTAATGATGATACGTTCATCAGGAATGATTAGTTCACTCACTTTAAGAACTTTAAAGGTAAATCAGAGATGTAATACTTTTATCTCCCGTTCGCGTCGTTTCCTTTCTAAATATTCACGTTCCTTTACTTCCCATAGCCGTCGCTCCTCTTCAGCTCGTCTTCTGCGATCCTCCTCTTCATGTTGCCGTTGCTCTTGATCTTTTTTGATACGGCGTTCTTCTTCCTCCAAACTTCTATGAAGCATAACAGATTTAGAAGAAGCTTAATTAATTAGTCTTCAGCATAATTTGCATTGAAATGCCGAAAGAAAAAAAAAGTAAAGGATATTTAGTTCCTTCACATCTCTATTCCATCGTTTAGTTCTGAATTTCACTATCAAAATGTATCAAACTTCCTTACCTTAAATATTTATAATTGTAATCAACAGTACGTTCCTCCCTCGGATAATATTTGCTATCGACGGATGGATATCGTTCATGTTCCAAGATGATCGGTGATGAACGGGATAGAGGTGGGGCAGAAAGAGCTTCGGAAGAACGTGTGACGAAAGTTCTGGTCCGTATTTCTTTTCGGTAATACTCTTCTTGGTGATAATCACTAAATGGTGTTGTCGATGAACGATAGTCGATAGGTGTCGTAGTTGAAGAAGGAATCGATGATGTAGTGAGTTGCACTGGTATTTCTCGAATTGTGCGGCTTCGAGGCTCTGAAATCAATCTTGAATTAATTAAATAATCAAAAAAATAGGAGAAAAAGCGATATTCACACTAATAACTATCTTCTTGCCATTTCATTAATAACAGATTGATGAACAAAGTGAACCATATGATCTAGCAGTCTTTCTATTCAACCACCGTATGAACTATCATTAGCAAGGATTCATCATTGAATTTTGACAATCAATTAACTGAATCATTGATGAACAAATCGGAAAGCGAAAAATTGAAATAAATTTATAAAATGAGAGGAAATAAACCAACCGGATCGCTGTACGTAAATATCGTCATCACGCGACATATCGGAATTGCGCTGCTAGAAAATAGAAAAAAGTGAAATTTTGCCAGTGCTGCAAGAATTTTGAGAAATGTCCAAATAAATTCATTTAATATCAAACTAATTAACAAAGATAAGGGCAAAAGTTTTGGTAAACAATTAAAACAAAGAGAGAAATTACAATGGGAATGTGATAAAAATAAGAATTTTTCTTCCATAAAAAAAAATAATTTTAACGAATGACAAAGTGAACACGTGGAGATTATTAAGCAACTGCTTAATTAATTATTTGTAGCTTATCATCTAACCAGTTAATTACTGTCAATATTTTGAAACAAAGATTTTTTGTCACAATCACTTCTATTTTTATCATAACCAAAATTTGCATCAACAAATTGGTAACTATAAAATTTTTGTTATTCCCCAAATTCCCAAAATAATTTCTTTAAATGTTTAATACAAATATTTCTGACTTAAGAGGTATCGTTGACAACAAAGTTAGCAATAAAATTCCTTCAAATTTATTGATTCTAAAGGACCAATAAGATGAAAGCAATGAAACATATATATGGATGTTAAGGAATGATATCATTATCATCAGGAAGAAAGAGAAGAGTCAAACAATATCGAAGAAAATTCGTGTTAAAATCAAAGCAAAATCACGCCAATAGTGATTAAAAAGACAATTTTCTAAGTTTATTTTATCTGAATAGCCTCAAATAAAAGAGAAATATAAAAGAATAAAATTATGAGAACGAATCGGAGGGATAATTTTGAAGAAGAAAATGGAGCCATATGACCTTGAAAATTTATAAATTCTTTCACAGAGTCCCTTTAGAGAATATGATCCTTACTATCTATTTGTCAAATATCAAATGTGATAAATTTTTGTGGAAATGTCTGAAACACGCATCTGATCGCATAAAAAATTTCAATACATCAATAGATTACATGGAATTGAAATGTTTTTCAGAACTACAGAAATGACACTTCGTCTTAAAAAGTGAAAAGTGATCGCATGCTAAATATGATCAGGCAATGAATGATTCCTATTAATAAAGTGGGAGACCGTACATCCTAGAATTTTCAAGAAAGCCTAAAAGATAGACTGCTTAAACAGGATGATTTGCATCAATGAGAATTGACTGATTGAACAAAAAGACTGACGATTGGAAAGATGGGAATTATTCATCAAATCATTAAATAATCAGTCACCATCAAGCACTTTCACAAGCAGCACACACTATTATGTATCTATCAGAGAATCTTCGGTGATTGTAGGCTCTTTGTATTGCCTAAAATATCTCAACAAATAAAATTATTAAAATTCGTTGACTGTTTTAAAATCCCCATATAGAGTGTTTTACTAGAATTGAAATAAATTTTCTGATTTATAAATAAATAGTGAAAATCATTGTTTCTAAGTTTGCCATTTTAAATGAAATTCTATTGAAGAAAAATAAGAGGAATGAAAAAGCCAGGAAAAAGCAGGAATATAGTTCAAATTCGGGTAAAAGGGACAATGATACATACCACTATGAGACAAAGTGAAAAATGGTTATGCGGAATTCATTTTACAAATTAATACGGACCTGCTTAAAGGAAAGAAGTGAATATGCCGAGAACTTTACTCTTTTGCGAGTTTCAAAGAAAGACTCTTTTTAAAGGTATTTTGAAATCCAAAAATAATGACTCTTTTTCCAGAGTAATAAAAATTTTTGCTCTCCAAATTAAAGAATTATTTCAACTGATCTCGGTTTCGCCTAAAAGAGGTGTCAAACTTTACGGAAAACTTTTGACTGAATTAATTTACAGGTGCATGGTTTTAATAAAAAACCAGCTGGAAAATTCAGTGACTTCAAGAATTTATTTACTGCAAAACAACGTATGACGACGTATTAAAGTATGTCCATTGAGTTAGATTTCGGCTGATACAGTGATCAAAGAATTAACTGATTTCAGCAAATCATTCGAATTCAAATCGATCATCCGATCAGTTATTCAGCTACTGAATCATATTTTTCTTTGGTTAAAGTCAATCAGAAAAAAAGGAGAATTTGATGTCAATTTTAAAATGATTGGATGGTGACAACAGAAACACGACATCAAAAAGCAGCGATGAAAATTTTTAGATGTCATTCAAGTTGAAAACAGCGCAAGAGATATATTTCTGAAATAGATGAAATGCAGGATGATCAGGGTGAAGGGAGAAAGTTGTCAAAAATCAGCAGAGGGGAAGAGTTCATAAGAAGGAGGATCTATGTGAAAAGAGAATTTTGCAACCACCATGACAGTGTGACAATTATGAATACAGACTGATTGCAGCGGTCAGCGATGATGCTATTACACATGTCTCGTATCTTTCACTAAATAACAACCTGAAAACTGGTCTCGAAGTATCCTCTCTAGATAGTAATAGTAATAGTAGTAGTAGCAGTGGGAGGAGGAGGAGGAGGAGGAAGAGGAGGAGCAGGAGAAGGAGAAGTTCATATTTAACGAAAATGAAGGCAAGAGGAGCCTTTCTGCATTTTGCAAAACTAAATTTCTCGAATAGAGTGGAGTTTTACAGTGCAACAATGTATATTTTATTCATTTTTAACAGAATTTCGAACTTATTTCCCAGAAATAGAAAATAAAAATTTAGAAGTTCGTTAAGGTTCACAAATTAGCAAATGATGAATGAAATGTTTACCTAAAAGTACAACACTTTCCACTTATGATGAAAAAGTATAGTTGAAAAGTTGAGGGAATATTGTATGCACTTTAATGTTGATTTGGAATATTCAGGCCAATTAGAAAATTAGCTAAGTCTTCCGAGCACTATTAGAAATAAATTAATAAAGACTAGATAATGGGATTGAAATTGTGGTAGGGGAAATTATGTAATTGATGAAATGCCTTTTTAAAGGCGTAGTGGACATAACGAAAAGAAAATGAATTGTAAATTCGTTGATAGATGAATGATGTTTATTCTCGAGTTACTTGATAATGATAGCCATTACTGATTTGCACAAAACAGCATCAGATTAACAAATATATGGAAATAAATGATATGTAAAAATGATTCGAAGTAGCAACCCCGGTATTACATGTGACGCGTTTTCTGGCGATGACAGCAAATCTTCCCAGTGTCCATTTTTGCTTCATCTATTCTCTAACTAGGTTGGAAATAATTAACATTATTGGACCTCAGCTGATCAAAATATGGTCATAACTTCTAGTCTTGTTTCAATCCTGTAGGAAAATACCTTACTTCAAGGTACCTGATCACTAAGAGTTCAGCACTGCAAGTCGAATCCTGCACAAGTTCATGCTACACTAAATTGGAAAAAAAATTGGGAAATCATTAATACAATTGGTTCGCTAACGAAAAGGTAGCTATGACAACATTAGCATTAAATACAAATAGCACTACCAATAGGAGTTAGCTGTAGTTTTATGCAAACAGAAATCAGCAATATCAACGATTACAATGCCAGAATTGTAAGTTGTGCAAATCATACGTTCTGTAATGTCCAATAGCTGTCACAATTTAGTGCTCGCAGAGAATTTAATAATTTTTTAATTAAATGACCAAGAATGTCAGGAAGAATTCCATTACAGAAGTCGTTTGCAGTCTACAAAAACGAATGGTTTCAGAAGTATCAGCGCCTCTGAAAACTTGATCGTCATTCAGAAGACTCTGCTACGTTCGGAAAATATAGATTTAGTTGATAGCATTATCCGCCTGATACAAATTTATACTAAACCTTGGTAAGGAATGTAAGATTTATTGCTGAGGCAGTTACTTTGAAAAGCAATATTGAAAATTTTTTTGTGCGAAGCCAAAAATTTTTATAAACCAGTTTTATTCTCGATCTCTCACAATTTTGAATTTCCTCCCAGAAATGTTGAAACAAAGAGAACGGAGGAATAATTCCCGGTTTACCTCAGATTTTGATATTTCTAAGAGAGTTCAAGACAAAAATAAGCAAAATCCAACTATTACGTACCATAATTCCCTCAAAAATTTTAATCACTCAACGACTACTGCTAAAACTTCCCACCGCATCTGGTGCTCATTCATAGTTCGTCCGTTAAGGAAAATCATTTCTTACAAATAATTCCGGTAGAACGAAACTTCACTATCGGACATATTTCATTGATTTATCATTCGTTATCACTCTGTTATGCTAATCAATTTTGATGGAGTTATTTTTTTCCATCAAAGAGGTAAAAAGATTTTATTTAGAATTAACGAATGATCGGCAATACCTCTTCTGGAAAAAGAAAGGTACAGCAGCGGATGGATTGCTAAATTCACGTAAGATAAATTACCAGGAATTTTCAAAATCCCGAAAGAAATACTCTGGATTTTGAATTCTGGTAATCGACCAATAAGTTTATTTGTAGGCATTGCACCTAAATAAGAAGGTATGGAATGCTATTTAATGCTTTGAGGAAAATATGTTCACTTTTTCTCTGATTTTTTATTTCAGAATATTTTCCTTAAATAAGTGTCTATGAGTTTTTAGCGTAATAGAAAGCGAAGTTCTGAAACAAGTAAGTATTTAAAACTAAAATGAAAGATGCAAAGGGAAGACTGAGAACCACTTTTCCTTCAAAGAAATCGATGAAAGTAATTCTAAAAGAGTTCTAAAAAAGGAAAATTATAAAGAGTGTAAAAGGAGGAACTTGAAATATTTAAATATATGAAGAAAAGCCGCTATCAGTACGGAAAAAGAGAAGGAAAGAAAAAGCTGGAAGTGAAGAGTGAAGAGTGAAATGATGAATCAGTGATTCAAATATATTTATGATTTCCATTCATCAAACATAACGGAATGATTCTGATAACAACGTTATTAGTTGCTATTCCTGGAAGAATAAATAATTTTTTCAAGCAGAACTGAAAGATTTCACTACAACATGAATAAAAGATTACGATATGCATAATCGGCATTCCGATAAGCAATCCGGATTCTGACTGATGATAATGATTTAACTGAAAAACTTCTAGTACATGGCATGTTCCAGAACAGACAACAATGATTTGCATGATTTCAGCGATATTTCTGAGTTTTTAGGCTTTCATTTTTATCAGTCAAATTACGTACGCCATGCTAAAGTCATAAACGAATGGTGCATTAGTCCAAAATTAACGGTCCTCTTATCAATTTCTTTTGAATTCCATCCTGGAACTCCAGCAGTTATTGGTTATTAAAGTGGTAGTGATATAGTAAAACGCATTTGGATCCATATCATTCAATGAATCGTCAATCATTGGAATACAGAATATAAGCTTATCATTGGGATCTGATGGCTAATATTTGGAAATTCCTAGAAATTCAAATAAATGAATCAGCGGATATTTTTAACGTCTGCGATATTATGTATTACATTATTTCAATGGTAAACTTCACATAGCAGAAATGATAAGGAATTGGTTGAACATTAACAGTAGCAAATAATAGTAAACATAGAAATTATGAGTGGCAGAAAACCATAAGGGAAAAGAAAAGGAATGAACTAATGCGACAGCAAAACCAAATTTATAAACATCTGTTGAGTAAAATTTGTGGTAAAAAAATATTAGATTTGTTTTAGATCAAAAATAGCGAAAGAGACAAGGCAACAAAAAATACTGAATTGTGATCGGGAGAGAACTAACTGTGATTTTCTAAGAGGGTTCTCAAATGAATAATGCAAAGCGTCTGAAGGTAATAAAAACGAAAACAACCGGCTAATTCCAGTTATTTCAACTGTGTGACTTATAGGAATTTAAAAAATGAATTCAGTTAATCAACTAACGGTACCGAGCATCTGAATAAATACAAAGCTGGATAGATGAGAGATAAAATGCTAAAAGAATTAATACTTGATATGGAAATGAATAATCGATTTTTATGAATGACAATAATGTGGCATGCAAAGTATGAAACAAAATACAAATGATCAAAAATAGAGAAGTGAATAAATGGAATCAGTATCTAATGCCACCAATTAAATTGAACTCAGTTCAGCAAAGACAATCAAAGACATACCTTTTGCGACGACAATTCAGATGGGGTTTTTGGCGGTGGTGGCGGTGGTGGTTCCGAGGGTGGACTTGACATTCCTGAAATAAACTTCATCTTCTAAACGAAATCATGGGAACACGTCTATAATTCTAATTATTAGATATAATTTTAATTTAAGTAGTTTCAACGATTGAGAAACTGAAAAACATGAGAATGGATGTTAACATTTAGTGAAACGCTACTAAAAGCATTTTAAAATATTCATATCAGCTAGAAGTTACTTGTTCTCTCACTACAGTAATGAGACGACAAACAGTTAAGCTTCCACAATTCCCAGAACCTTTTCTTTCATATATCTCTCAAAATGTAAACTATCATTTCTGATTTCTCGTTTAGAAGTGGTCTAAGTCGCAATTAACAAACAACTAAACGAGAAAAAGACGCCTCCCTTCTTCATCATGATGTCCTCCTTTGTACATATCGCAAAAATTTGTCGTGTTTCCTACTTACGTTAAAATTACTTAGTTCTTCTCGGGTGCTATTTTCTTTAGAAAACGAAATGGAACTATTCAACAGGCCTCAACTCTTATCCCTGACAATAACTTTCTTTCTGTTTTTGGATCCCACAAACTTTCATCAGGAAGATCGTGAAGGACAAATATATTCAGTGTTTCTATGAGATATTGTATATCTTTCCCGAAATTCGGAAATGAAAATAGATCTATCTTCATGAATATCTCAGAAACAATCTGCAATTAATAAAAAATCTTCCCTGCTTTCTCCATTGAACCTTAGTTGGGTTCCGGAAGAGCACTGCGTGACATGATGCAAATGCAAATTCGTCCCCTTCACTTTTCGCCTTTACAAATTTGAGACACTCAGCAAGCTAAGACTGTTATATTTAAGCAAAAGATGTAAAAGTATACAGGGATCAAGTTGTCATATAGCATGATAATGATAGCTGTAGTGACAATGTTATCAGCAAGTATGAGCAGAAGTGCGATTACTACAAATTTCTTGTTATGATGGCAACTACTGATTCATTATTATCATCACAAATATCTAACGGAGTCAGAATGCTCCAAAGAAATATTTGCTCAGCAAACAAAACCAGAATTTAGATTCCAAAAAGGACAATTTCAGAAACAAACAGTTCCTGTTAAATTTAGCAGTTAACTGCAATAACAATCTAATAGTGAAAGATGTGGACAGACATTCATCCGGACATATCCCTAAAGTGGTCAGGGGATAATGAGAAAAATAAGTCGGAAAACGAGATTCCATCATCGTTCCGTGATTGATATGATCAGCAGGAGGAGGAGGAGGAGAGTGTTGGTATGGTCGAAAGAACCAGCCTGAGCGTATGATGTAGCGTTTTATTGTTGTTGATGCTGCTGATGATGTTTGCCGATAATAATCGCTTTTGCCACTGACGTCGTCATTGTCACCATCGTCACCATCCTTACCAATACCGACTCCTTGCCCAATACGTCCTCGACCTGTTTTCCTACCCTCTTCAATGTAATTTTACATCCGTAAAAAGCAAAAAGCCTATTCACCTTGGTTTTACGAATTCGTCCACACCGGCAGATTTAGGCTTTGTTATAAATGAAGTTACATAATCGATTTGAAGTTGTGAGTAAGTTAATAGTCATAAAGGATAGATTAAAATTTGAGAAAGAAATGTCAAGGGCAATGATGAGCAGAATAAGTCACCTGAACAATCGATTGCAGGGATCTTTTTTGAATGACTCAAGTCCTGAGATAGGTCTTTGAAGTTTTCGGCTACTCCCAAGTTGCCTAAAGTAAAAAATAACCTTTGAGATTACTCCTTCTGATTCCGTTTCGGCCAATACTTGCTGCTGAAGTTGGTACAATGTTACTTCTTGCAGATGTAATATCACTGTTTTGTTCACCGTTGGTCAAGTCTTCGAGGCTAGCAATGGGTGGTGCACTAAAGAGAGGTAGAAGATAGGCTGTAGCAAGAGAGGATGAGGCTGGTAACAGCGGTTGACAATTGTTGTCGGTTGTCGAGGCAACTGCAACAGCAGTGGTAAATATTGCCCGGTTTGTTGACGAATGTCCACTGTCCTTGGGTGCGCGGGATGACAATGTAGCAACGATCGACGGGACATCATCGTTCAGTTCTCTGCAATTTACCACTTTAGGCGCACAAACATTAGCATGAAGCATATGCAAAGTAACTTGAGTGCGTGACCAAAGAGTGACCATTGCAGAAGTTTCAGACGGAAAAACTGATAACTGTCACATCACTGTTGTCACTGTTCTTGTAAACACCACACAGTGAGATAAGGAGATTTGGCATAGCCCCATAAGTTAGCAGTCCTTGACTTTTTTGACATGGCGCTGTTGATCATCATTTGGTATAAGTGAGTAAATAAAAACTTAGGCTAGAAATTTGGTCAGCACAGTGACAAGCCATTGATATCATAATAATTTGACATAACAAAAAGGATATTGTTTTCTGAAGGATTAGATGTTTTTCTTGCCAGACAGAATTACGGTTAAGCAGGAAGCAAAAAACTAGAATACTTCCAAAAATATTTTTTCCCTGATTTTCCCTGATATCTGATATTTTATTGATTTTCTGATTTCCGATAAAAATATTTTTTTCTACGAAATCAATTGCTTCTATGTACCCAATTTAAAGGTTTTGTTAAATCGCAATGGTGAATGCCATAGACGAAACCAGAATTGTCCTCAACATAAAATATTGTGCATTCAATTGCTTCTATGCATCTAATTTCGAAAGTTTCATTAAAATCCCAAGAACTATCATTTTTACGGAATATTGCTGGAATGGTTAAGAAATTTCAGACAACTAATTCAGTACTAATCACCAATGTTATGTAAATCACAAGATGTAAAAATCAGACTGCCAAATGACCAATAATCTGCCGTAGACAGAGAGTAAATTTAGCACAAACAAAAATACTTAAATTAAAACTTGTCAACTTACCCATTTGCAGCGAGTTGTTCCTCCATAATTGCAGCTTCATCGATCGGATTGGAACAGATCGAGAAATCAAGTACTGAATCATGTGAATGATCGATGGATATGGAAGTCGAATTCAGTGAGCACGTTTCTTCGCTGCAAAAGTTCGAAGTTGAGATGTCAAAAAGGAATTTTTGGACATTTATCGATTCTCTATCACTAAAACCTTATTTGAACATTCAAGAAAATCTAATTCGACTATGGACGATGGAGAGATAACACATTATACTTGATGTATTTTGTTGATGTTCAACTGATTTTATGGAATTTACAGAATGAGTAAACAGTAATCCTAAAAATTTAAGACTTCATCAACCATCAACCATAACTGTCACATTGGTAATAGTCTAAATATCGAGAAATGTGCCAAATTTTAACTAAAATTTGCGCCATAACTATAATTGAGAAAATAAGTGAAATTAATAGAAATGTTAAATCTCTTTGAACTGTAGTTTAATAAAGAGACTCGAAAAGACGAAGAGCAAGTTTATGTTTATTTGTTGAAGAGGAAAAAGATATTGTGGAAGAAAAGAAAGTAGGGTATTTGAATCACTGGAAAATTTACTGTCATTGTAAATTTGAGAAGAAAAAGGGAGTAAAAAAGGAACTGTCACTGCTAGAATGTTCCTTTCATTTGATTTAAATTTGAATTAAAAACTGCAAACAAAAAAGTGCAAATTGTTCACAGGAATTTAACTTGTTATTGTGGCAATGTATTGTTATCAAATTTGTGTCCTCGTTCAAGTAAAACTTCAAACTGTGAGTTTTAATACTTCAATATCTGACGAACAGTGAAAACGATTAATTAAAGTAATTTTATTATTCGAAAAACTCGCCATTTCAAGACATTTTAAAGGTTAGATTCTAAAATACCTAATCTATCTGGTAGACTCCCGTAGAAGTTCAGTATTCTCGTAAATAGCAGCGATAGTACGGTCTATAAAAGTACACCATACTAGGATAACAGATCAAAACCCATATTCTGTCGGGAGTGAAAAATATGTATTGAAAGGATGGACATACCAGAAATGGACGTTAAGAAAAGGTTACTACAAACGGTGCTCAACAAATATGAGTAACAAAGATCAGTCGTTCATTAAAATCTTCGTTTGGAGATTATTCAGATAAGTAAGAATTACTTCACCAGTGAAGAATTTCAGTTTGATTTGGTGATGAATTGTGCAAATCCGAAAAACATTATAGTAAGAATTAAGTTTCGGTCAATAACCACACATTTCATTTTTCCAACTACCAAAACAATTTTCCTCTTCTCTTGAAAAATAAAATTGAAATTCGGTAAACATTGCAAAATAAGGCCTGATTACATTTTTAAAAAGATAATAACCGAAGAGTTATTTTAATCCAGAATTCTCTACCTGATTTGGGTGAGATATCAGCTCAAAATTAAATGTCATCCTACCCATTTTTAATATTGTTTGCGATTTGCGCATGACAATTCTGCGTCTTACTGTCATTCAACAAAACAGTATCCACTAAAAAATCCACCCGACAATTTCATCTTAGACATGTAGAAGCAATTTTGCGGTTGCAAAATGGGCAATTATTCAAGTATGAGTTTCGTCCAATTTTCTAATTTTAAAACCATAACTTAATTATAACATTTTCGGTCTCAAAACTTTGGATTAATTAATTTTTCATTGATTACATGTAGGTGCAACCAATATTAATTCAATTAAAGGATATAAGAAATATGGAAATAAAAAAATTTCCCTACATCCCTTCTGAAATCAGATGATGTTGCCACGTTGATGAAAAATAAATTTCACACGTTATCACTTGTCACTTAATTCCAGGTAAGTGTCAAATAAGAATTTCATTTTTGCTAAAAGGGAAGGAATTATTTGCTCCTATAACAAGTTAAACTATGTTTGGAGAAAAAAGATTTAAGTGTTAGAAATTAAAAGACAGGATGTCACTTTAAAAGAAGTTCAAGAAATGGTGGGAGATATCGGTTTTGGATATATTCATTTTGGAATTTGGTGAAAAATAGCAAAAAAACACCAAGAGGTTGAACTTATAAGAAATAGCAATTTAATTGGTACCAATGCTAATAATGTACGCATAAGGAAATGAAAAAAATCATATCATAGACTGTAGGAAGAATTAATGCAAATTAACTTTCTTACAAAACGTACATCAATTTCCTATTAATAAAAACAAATTCATATTAAAATCCAGACTGTTTAGATAAAGGTAATGGTAATAATAATCCATACTCAGATAGTATTACTTTGTCATCCAAGCTTACAGACGTTTTCATTACAAATTTTGACGGTACTATTACAATAAAGAAGCTACAAAACTAAGAGGAAAAAATTCCAAAATTTTAAAATTCAGCGAACTTACTTCGTGATAGTATCCAATAATTCATTCATAACTATTTCATTTTCGTCACGATCTCGAAAGTTCGAATAATCTATCAGTGATGAAATTGGAGCAGTACTGGTTGGGAACACGGTACCAGTAATTCGTTTCATCCTACCTTGTTGTGTAAAATTCGCGAATTTACTCTGAAAAAAACAAGTTAGACATTAATAAATTCCAAACTTTTCTTAAGTGAAATGCTAATTTTAGATGATATAAATTGAAATTGTTGCAAGTTGCGGCTGCGTCTTCTTTAGATAGCAAGAAGTAAATTTTACAAATTATTAAGATATGCTTCTGAGCGACTAAGAAGAGGAAAAGGAAAATCATTCTAAAGACAAAAAGATTTAATTAAATTAAGATTAAAGATCAAAAAATTTAATTACCATAAAGGGAATTTTCAAACTACATGTTGAAAAGAAGATGACTCACTATTCTATGAAAAAACATTCCCTATTGAAAACC